GCAATTAAACACATCAGCTCGGTAAGCAAGTTTGCAACCTCGTCCACAACCCGAGCTACAAATCTTCTCAAAAACATTAAACCTTACAACACAATAGGAAGAATTGCTATAAGTAATTAAAGAATAAAGTAAGTAACAAAGTGAGTGTTAGTTCTATAGAAAAGGAGCCTGGAGAATTAATAAGAGAAAAAAAGTAGCAGATGAATTGAACAGGTGTTTTGCATTAGCATTCGCTATACAAGTAACATCCCAGAAATGGCAATAAATCAGGAAATAGAAATAAGGGAGGATCTCCAGAAAATCCTAGGGTTTTAAACAAAAAATGGCTACTGAGATAGTTGATGCATCGGTTTTAATTTTCTAAAAACCCTTTCAATTCCAGCATGGTCCTGTTAGATTGGAAGGTCGCAACTGTAACTCCTTATGCTCAAAAAGGGAGGGAGACACAAAGCAGGAAACTATAGGTTGGTTAGTTTTAACATCTGTCACAGGGGAAATATTCTATTATTAAAGAAGTTATAGCAGGGCACTTAGATAAGTTCAAGGTAATTGGTTAGAGTCAACATGATATTGTGAAAGCAAAATCATGGTTAGTTAATCTATTGGAGGTAGTATGTTCTGTAGATAAAGGGGAACTGGTGGATGTATAACACTTGGATTTCTAGAAGGCATTTGAGAAGGTGGCTTATCATAGATTATTGCAGAAAGTGAAAACTCCTGGACAGGGGATTGCATAATGACATGGATTAGTGATTGGCTATGTCACAAGAATGAGTATATGTAAATAGGTCTTTATCAGGTTGGCAAACTGTTAGCAAGTGGTGTACTGCAGTGATCAGTGCTGAGACATCAACTTTACAATTTATGGAAATAATTTAAATGAAGGGAAAGAAGGTATAATTACTAATTTTGCTGATGACATAAAGATAGGAAGGAAAGTAAGTTGTAGAGAGATCATATGGAGGCTACAAAAAGATGTAGATAGGTTAAGTGAGTGGCCAAAGATGTGGCAAATGGAGTGTAATGTGGGAAAATGTGAAATTGTCTGTTTTGGCAGGAAGATTTTTTTTTTTAAAGCTTATTTAAATGGTGAGAGATTTGAGTTCTAAGATGCAGAAGAATCTGGTGCCCTTGTGCATGAATCGCAAAAGGCTAGTGTGCAAGTACAGCAAGAACTTAGGAAAGCCAATAGAATATTATAAGTTATCACAAGTGGCTTTGAATATAAAAGTAAGGAGGTTATGCGTCAGTTGTACAGAGCACCGGAGAGCTCACATCTGGTGTTCTGTGAGGTATTGGTGACTTTGTTTAAGGCTGGAAATTTGTTGGAGGTAATTCAAAGAAGATTTACCAGACTAGTTGTCTTATGATGGAGGATGGGACAGTCTAGGCTTATATCAACTGGAGTTTAGAAGAGTGAGAGATGATGTGATTGAAATGTGTAACATCCTGAGGGTTTTTTGCCGGATTGATATGGAGAGGGCATTTCCTTTTATGGGACAAGATAGAACTGGGGTTACTGTTCAAAAATCAGGGCATGCCCATTTAAAAACCAGTGAAGTGAAATTCTTTCTCTGAGGTTCATGAGTCTTTGGGACTTCTCCTGAAAAGATGGTTTAAGCAGTGTCCTTAAATATTTTTATGGCAGTGGTAGATTCCTGTTAAGTGGGTAGATGAAAGGTTATCGTGGGTATGTAGGTATATGGATTTGAGATTGCAATCAGATCAGTCATGATCTTATTGAATAGTGGAGCAGACTTGAGCTGAATGGCCTACTTCTCCTCCTAATCTAATTTGTATGTTTTTAATATGTAACAAGTACCCATCCAGTGTGCTACCTTGTGGTCCAAACTCTCAATTGTAAAGTAGTTGTTAATGTAATTCTTTGAATCAGTCCTATGGATACTGCACAGTGCAGTGTTGAGCTTCACCTGTTGCTAAAACTTCTGAGGTACCTTACCCTTATGGGTTATGAGAGGTAGACTGGCTCTTATTTTCAGCAATGCTCAAGTTCTGTTCAGCCAAATGACAATTTGTAATTAGGAATTGTTGATTTCATTTATCTCTCCATCCTAGAACTGGTTACAGTTCCTTCCCAAAATGTCCACAAGATTTATATTTAAGGAAAATTTGGGACAAAGTGCCTCTAGAGCTTGAATAATCCAATCAGTGAGTTGATTAGCACCATGACAAATATTATTTGTAGGTTTTTTATTAGTATGACATCAAGGAGTTTTAGTGAAGGGGTGGGGAATTCTCTCCAGGGGTTGGAGGCGTAGCTGGGAGAAAAGAAGTTACTTAAGACCATCGGAGGTCAATCATTATAACCCCAGGACACTGATGCAGAAGTTCTTCAGACTAATGCCATAGGTCTAACCGTTTTCAGCTGCTTCATCAGTGACATTCCCTCCAATTTAAGGTCAGTAGTTGAATGCTCACTGTATAAAGTTCAGTATCTTTATGCGACTCAGATGCTAGAGCAGTCTATGCCTGCATACACCAAAAGCTGCACAGGCTAAGACGTGGGCTCAGAAATGTCACGTAAGTTTGTGTAACAAAAATGTCAAGCAAAGCATGTACAACAATAAAGAATTAACTGTTTCCCCATAGCATTCAACAGTATTATAATCACTAAGTCCTCCATGATTAAAACTTTGAGAGTTATGTTTTTGTTCAGAAAATTTAACTGGAACAGCTGTATAAACGCTGACTACAAGAGCAAATCAGAAGCTGGGAATTGCATAGTGAATAACTCCCTTCTTGACTCTCTAATGTCTGTCCATCATCTACATGACACTAGTTAGGGATGTGATGGAATAATCCCCACTTGCCTGGAATAGTACAGTCCCAGCTATACTTATGATCTCAGTGTCACTCAGGACAGACAAGTTGGTGTGATTAGCACCCCATGCACCATTTTAAACGTTTTTTTATTTCTTTCACAAATAACAGACAATGATACTAATGTTGGACAATCTGCAGGATGCGCTGAAGCAACTCATTAAGAATCCTTCAACAGCATCTTCTAAATCTGTAATAATTAAAAGGACAAAGACAGCAGATGCAAAGAATCATCATTCTGATTTGAACAATATTGCTGTTTGTTGACTGTTGCTGGGTCAAAAACCTAGAAATGCCTTCCAAACAGCGCAGTTGGGATAGAGATGGACTTCATTTTAACAACCAAAACAGAAGTTGCTGGAAAAGCTCAGCAGGTCTGGCAGCATATGTGAAGTAGAAAATCAAAGTTTCAGGTCTGGTGACCCCAAGAAGGTTGCTTGCCACCTTTGCAGGGCGTTGCAATGAATTTTAAGTGACCAGTGAAGGAGCATTTAAGACAAAATGTGTTTTCTATGATACCGCACTGACTGAAACCAAGTAACTGCAGCATCAAGTAATGAATTTTGCAGTATCCCATCAAAATATGCCTTTACCTACTGTATTATACAGTCTTAAAATACAGTAGAGACTTGAACTTCTGTGGTGCCTATCAGAATCTCAGGACGCCACGAAGTACTTCAAGTGAAACTATTGTTGTAATTTAGAAGTACACAATCAATTTATGCCTAACAGCAAATGATAGTGACTTCTTGATACTTAAATAAAAACAAGCTCCACTATTCAATGTGATCATGGCTGATCATCCAGTGGTTGATCTAAAATGTTTTAGAGAAGGACATAGATATAGTTCTTGAGCTGAAGGGATTCCAGGGTTTGGGACAAAAGTGAAAACGGGGTAGGGAGCCCGATGATCGGCCATAATCACATTGAATGGTGGAGCAGGCTTGAAGCGCCTGCTATGGGATTGTTTACATTCACCTGAGAGAGCAGACGTACCCATTGCTTAAATGTCTGATTTGAAAGATTTTAGGAAAGATTTGTAGCTCGTATTGTGGGTGAGGTCGTTGACTTGCTCACTGAGCTGGCTTGCTCTCGTTCAGATGTTTCGTCACCATGCTGGGTAACATCATCAATGAGGCCTCCGATGAAGTGATGTTGTTCTACTTGGAATTTATACTGTCCAGTCCATTATGGTGAGTAGTGTCATTTCTGGTCTTGTTCTGTATGGGTTTGTATGTGGGGTCCAATTTTATATGTATGTTGATTACATTATGGGTTGAGAACCATGCCTGTAGGAATTCCCATGCATGTCTGTTTGGCTTGGGCTACTATGGTTACATTATGTTGTCCCAGTTAAACTGTTTAACTGTTAACCGAGTTTTAACTGGGACAACGTGACTATAGTAGCCCAAGGCAAACGTAGACACGCACAGGAATTCTTAAAGGCATGGTTCTGAAGCCATAATGCAATCAAGAAACATATAGAATTGGACCCCATATACACTACTATACGCTACTCACCATAGCGGCCCGAGCAGTATAAATTCCAAGCGGAGTAGAACAACGTCGCTTTGTCGGAGGCCTCACTGATGATGTTACCTAGCATGGTGACGAAACGTCTGAACGAAAAACAAGCCAGCTCGGTGAGCAAGTCAACAACCTCACCAGTCTCATTTGAAAGATAGCCCCAACTAACATTGTACGGCTTTCTCAGTACTGGACTGGAGTGTCAGTCAAGATTCATTTACTCAAGTCTCTGGAGTGAGACTTTAACTTACAACTTCTGACTAAGGTGACAGTGCTACCTACCCACTGTCACAGTTGACATTCATATAGATATACTGCTTTCTAATTCTTTGTATCTTGAACTTAAGCTGAGAGGATGGGAAGCTAAATAAACCAGGTGTTCAATCAAAGCGCCAATAATTTATAGCATTTAATTACCTACATGGGAATCTTTGAAGTAATAATGGTGAAGAAGTAAAATAGAAATCGAGATGCCTCATCCCCTAGCACTGAAATTTTATCAACAATGTAATAATTTAAAATATTGACTGTACATCTGATGTCAAAGTTTTTGAATAATATATCTTTTTGAAAACCTATAGGTTGGCTGTTTTCAGATGTTTAACTTTTCACAATGTTCTTTATCTTTTCAGGACCTTAATGTGAAACGACAGCTAAATCTGTTTGATTCTCAGAGAAGGGCAAAGGACGAAGATCCCATAATTCCATTTGGTGACGGACCGATCATCTCTAAGTGGGGTGCAATTTCCAGGTCTGCCCGCACAGGTTATCATAATACAGACCCAGTCCAGGCTACAGCTTCCCAAGGAAGTGCTACAAAGCCAATTAGTATAACAGGTTTGTCCAATCTCTCTGTCCCCTAATAATAGGGAAATCATGTTTTCATACAATTAAGTGTATTTATAAGTTTTTAAAATGTAAAGATAATTAAAACCTCCTTCAACTTGGGGGTTCTTTTATTCTTTTAAAAAATGTGGGTGTCGCTGGCAAGGCCAGCATTTCTCATGCAGCTCTAATTGCTATTGAATGGAATGGATTGTTTCGCCATTACAGAACGTTGTTAAAACTCAATCGTATTGCTGAAATCTGGAGTCACCTGAAGGCAAGACCAGATAAGGATGCCTGATCCCTTTCTCCTAAAAAACATTAGTGAACCAGATATGCTTTCACAACAATCGATTTAGTAATAGTCATCGTCACCATTATTGAGACTAGCTTTATTAATTAAATTTAAATTCCACCAGCTGCTTTGTCCCAAGTCCATTCCCTTGTCCCACGTCCAGCCCCTTGGGAAATGGTGGCATAGTGGTAAAGGAAAATGAAGTGTGACATCTAAAATGAAAATGGCAACTTTCCTTGTATCGCTCATTAATGTCTGTAAGCGGTTGTGCAAATCTCTACATTTTTATAAGCATAACTTGAATTCAGACTTCAGATAGATCCAGGGACTCCTGTTGTTCTGGGTTGGCTGATTTCTTAAATGTTTAAAAAATATGCTGGATTAAAGGAATAATATTGTGACTATATGTTTGATTGTAGAATATTAACCTCACACAACACAAATAATTACTAGAAATTTTAATTTATATTTTCCTGTGATCCCTTCTGAGTTTTATAAAAAACATTTTTTAAAGTTGAAAAGTTCTTGTTTTAAAGGCCGTAGTCATTTGCATTAAAAAAAACAATTTAACCGATCAGCTACTCATTCTATCTCTCATGATTGTGGTGTTCTTGGATGCCGAACCATGTAATGTAATATTTAAATGCAAAGTACTTGTGTATTCATATATCATATTATACCTTTTCTGAAAAATTCTTTTCAAGATGAGGGAGGTTACAAGAGAAGAGCGCAATTTTGGAAATTAGGCATTTGAAATGAATGCATGGAACTTTGTCACAATGTACTACTTTGCTCTTCAATTTCTTTCTCTTGAGCATTGTTTCTGATGAAGTAATGTGTAACAGATGAAGTATAAATTTCTAATCATGACTTTTTAAATCCAAGCTCAAATTAGTGAAATTTAAAACGTCTTCCACAGACTATAGTCCACATGTCAGCCATGCAGATTCTAGTAATTGGAATTCCCATGTCCTTTCATATGGATCGAATTCTACTACTGGCCAATACTTAAACAGGTAATGATAAAATACTATTGGTATTAAAAGTCTCTAGTAATTTTGTGCATTTTCTTGTACAATATCTTAATCTCTGTCTTTATTAAACCCATCAATTAATTGAAAAATTTTAGATGTAATTACTTCAATGGAAAAATATGTTGAGGTGGAATCATTTTTGTAAGCCTTTCTGTAGAACTGAACAAAATATTCAGTAGCTATTTATTTTAAAGTTGGATTTTCTTTCTTTTAAAAAGATGTGATGAGATCTTTATGAACTCTGTCTCGTTTCAAAACTGTTGTACTGTAGAAAACTTTGACTTCAGAATAAGTCACAAATTCCTATTTGTTCCATTTAACTATTCCCCCCCTCCCCACCATAACACGCTGTAGGTCCTTTTGTTTTTACTCCCACTTTGGATCTATAATGGACAACTATTAGCATTATCAGTTTTTCATCTGAATGTATGAATAAATAATGGTGAGTGTCTTTGTTTAGAAACACTGAAATAGTGATTTCAGAATGGAAAGCTGTAATCAGATTTTGTTTTCTTTTCTCTTCTGTGCCCACATAAATTTAAATGACTTTTACAGTTATGAGGAACACACTGAATATAAATTTGTATAAAATTTTGCCACAGTTTCTCACCAACGTAGTGGTTCCTATCCTTTGCATTAGGATGTATCAGCAATTCAGGTTTCCTTCTTTACTTTTAACCTCATGCACAGGATTTCCTTATGTGAAAAAAAAACTTTCATCTGGGCTTAATCACACTACATTATTTTTGAAAGAACTAAAGTTAATTAAGCATGTTGATCCTTCTGCAATGTTGTTTTCTTTCAAAATGGGCATGCTGAGTAATGGATAAATGTGTATATAATGTGTGGGTGTACCCACCTCAGTACTGTATCACTATGAAAAAAAAAGTTGAAGAATCAAGAGACTTTTTCTAGGTACATAACATTCTCAAGGTTGTGTTGCACAGATTCTACACAATTTATTTGGAAAGGTTCATTTGACATGCTGTGTTGCAGGACTTGACATTGCAATAGCTATTCAAGTCAAAACTGAAGGCTAATATTCAAAACGTCAAAGATGTATCTTAAAGATTTTTTTAAGTTTATGGTTTTTCACAGTTTCTCTGGAGCTGTCCAATCTTACCTTGAAGCTGCGCAAGATACCCATTGCCAGACCTCTACTACACTTTAGTTAGCAAGGATTGCAAGAGCCCTGCAGTGATTCTCTACATGGAAAATCACTTTGTTTTTATTCATTTTCCCCAGAATGTTGTGCTTGATGTGTTATGCTCATGAGCCCATTATCTCCCACTCTATGGAACATTAAGCAGCCATCTAGTGTTATCAGTCATTCTAATTATCAATTGTTAATTTATTCTTGCAGGGACCGATTGCGAATAATTGACCTGCCTGGTCACAGGAAACTTTCTAATGGTGGAGATCAATTGAATGTTGAAATGCAACAGGTGAGGACGTGGTGATCGAAATCTTGAAATTCACATCATTTTATTACGGCTTGAATGAAATCATTTCCAAAGGTGTACTGTAGTATCTCCCAACTGCTCACGTGATTACGTGCAAATGAGAGAGAATTTCTTTGAGGTATATTCTCACCAATGATTAGGGATTTGTCATTATATCCAGCACTCTGGTAATTGCATATGAAGCAATACATTTCTGCATCCCTATCATTGTAGTTTGTTTTGTTTTTCTATTCTTTCATTTTAATGGCTGCAAACAATTCAGTCTATTTCACAGTTCATGCCCAACAGCATCCAACGTTGCAGGTTCAGAAGTTAGTGTCCAACATAACTGTCTTTTTCAGGTACAGAGATTGTTTGTTTGTTTTTGCAGCGAACTCATCATATGTTTTGCTATGCTAGAGCATAATATTGGGTAAGAATTTGATGAATAAATCATGACATGTGAATGATGCGCATCTTCATTAATGTGCCAATCAGACAGCAACTGTGGCCTGAAGTAGAAACTAAGAACTGAAAATTACCAAAGGTTTCTGGTTAATGTGCTTCTCTGCTGTTAGCTTCAGGATAATGGGATTTTGCTCTTATTTTCCCTATTTGATTTTTAAGATATTGTTGCATTTATACATAAAATACCTTTTTAAACTCACCACAAATCACATCACATTCTTAAAAATGTACTAGTATAGTTCATTAGAATTGGATATCGTTAATGATCACCTAAAAGTCTGGATTATTACTGAAAAAAGACATGTTTTGGTAAAGCTTCTTGTCTCACATAAATCAGCATTATTCATGAGAATGCACGAGTTAATTGTGACTGACAGTTAACTGCCAAGCTTTGTTTAAATTTTAAACCAGGCAAGTTGCCTCTGGTCAAGGTATGGCATTGAAAATAAACCAGAAAATGGCTGTCATTTATTTTATTGCACATGTTTCAACTCGTGTTTCTGACTGCAAAGTACAGGGTCCTGTCTATTAATATATGTAGTTTCCAGTACACACAAGTGCATTCAACTGCAAGCCTGACTGACAATCCTAAATTGGTTGTCAACGTAATGTTTCACACACTTGTGGATTATTTAGTAAATGTAGTCTAAGCGCAGAATCGTGTCCAATATTGGACACACTGTTGGGTTTTACAGGCAATGGCTGGATAGATATGGTCAGTATGTGCCAGATAGAACCTTGCTTGTTACAAGCAGCCAAAGGGGTATGCAGTTTGATACTATCCACCAGCCTTTGGAACAAATGCTATGTACCTAGCATTGTTCTGGTACTGAAATTCAAACATTGTTACTCGTTTGTATGCTAGGCAAAATGTATTTTTAACCTAATCAGCATCCTGTTAATGGCAAGCACCAGTCATGTTGCTGTTATGTAGTAGCAGTGTGCAACAGCTAGCTTCACCTTTTGATCAAACTTTTTTGATACCTTGTCCTTCCAGTGTAATTCTGTGATAGACTGTACACTTTCTACACCAAAAGTGATGGATTTGGGTCCATTCACGAGTTTGCACAATACATCATAAGAAATGATCTGATTGGAGTATTCATTACCCCATAGGATGGCTTTGATGTGCCATGTTGCAGCATCAAGATTGCACAGTGAGCAAATGGCTTGGGCCCTATTTGGGATTGCCTGTGCTGACAATGGTATAGTGCATGAAATTGTAGGAATCCGAGCATAAGAACATAAGAACTAGGAGCAGGAGTAGGCCGTCTGGCCCTTCGAGCCTGCTCCGCCATTCAATAAGATCATGGCTGATCCTTTCGTGGACTCGGATCCACTTACCCACGTTCTCACCGTATCCCTTAATTCCTTTATTGTTCAAAAAAAATCTACATTTTTTAAAAAACATTTACTGAAGTAGCGTCAACTACTTCACTGGGCAAGGAATTCCATAGATTAACAACCCTCTGGGTGAAGAAATTCCTTCTCAGTTCAGTCCTAAATCTGCTCCCTCTAATCTTGAGGCTGTGCCCTCTTGTCCTAGCTTCACCTGCCAGTGGAAACATCCTCTCTACTTCTATCTTATCTATTCCCTTCATAATTTTATATGTTTCTATAAGATCCCCCCTCAATCTTCTGAATTCCAATGAATATAATCCCAATCTACTCAGTGTGCGTGTAAATTGACTAGTGAAGATAAATTTGCAGTAGACGATAGCAAATCCCCTAACTGATTTCCCAGCTAGGGCATCAAAGAAAGTGAGCTCATTTCACTGTTCTGTTTGAAAGGTGAATTTCAGCTCAAGGTGGAGCCCATTCAGAAATATAAGGAAATTCTTACTTACAGCTGCTTTGGGATTCATAACTAACCAAGCACACAGTGAGATGCCTCCAGCCTTGAAAATTCTAGACTAATCATTTATAGCAAAACTCAATCTCAGAGTTTGACCAAGACCACAAAATATTAGACATATTTGTTTTCAGCATTTACTCCTCCATATGAATCACTTCTGTCTCAACTATCGCCCAAAACACAAGGAACAAATGGCAAGTGTAATTTGCATTGACAGCAAATGGAAGGAATATGCTGAAACAGTATGTTTATTTTAAAGGGGTTAACATTACATTGGCTTTAAAAGAACCAGCTTGTAATAGTGGAAATATCTTTTTCCTGTGCAGCTGAACAAAAGTTTTGGTGATCATTTGGTTTCTATAGAGATTGTCATTGGCTCAGCATATGATCTGCCGGTCTTGCTGCTGTCTGTTCAGAGTAGAATTAGTTGTTGCTTGCCCATTGCTTTTGAAGGTGGTTATTATTGGTTACACTAACTTTCTGCTACTGGTGTGCAGGAATTTTACGATTGGTAGGTTTCTCCATTAAAAACATGGGAACAGAAAAAACTTACTTGGCCCCTTGAGCCTATTCCAATATTTGCTTCATATCCCTTGATATCATACTTAAAAATCTATCAGTGTTCATCTTGAACTTCATAAAATCATAGAATCTCAACAGTGCAGATAGAGGCCTTTCAGCCCATTGAGTCTGCACTGACAGTCCGAAGACCGTCCCACCCTAACCCTGCGTTTACCATGGAAGGTCCAAGTAGGCTGCACATCCTTGGACGGTTTGGGGCAATTCAACATAGTCAATCCACCTAACCTGCACATCTTTGGATTGTGGGAGGAAACCAAAACAGCTGGTGGGAAACCCTTACAGACACTGGAACAATGTGCAGATTTTGCACATACAGTCATCTGAGGTTAGAATCAAATCCAGGTCCCTGGCACTGTGAGGCAGCAGTACTAAACACTGCTACTGTGCTGTTTCAGTTGGATCAATTTCTGTAGTAATTAGAGAAATGGAGTTCAGGATTTCTATTCAACCTTGTGTGACAAAGGGCTTCCAGATTTTCTTCTTGATTTAGCCTGAATAGATTAGGTAATCTGTTTTCTGGATTTCTCACACTTGATGGAATAGAATATCTATACCCAATTCCTTTATCATTTTAAGTGATTCACTTAGTTCAACCCTCATTCTTCTATACTTTAGGGAATGCAAACCATGCTCATGCAACTCATTCTCATAATTTCACCCTTTGGACCCAATATCATGCTGGTGAGTCTGTACTGTACCCCTTTCCAAGGCTGCTATATTCTTCCAAAGTGTACTGTCTAGAGCCCAACACTGCATCCCTAATGGAATCTGATCACTGTTCTGTACAACTAGACAGTAACTTCCTCTCCTTCCAAGTACCCTTGGTATAAAGGTGAAATTTCATTAGCTTTTTTTATTGACTTGTTTTTGTGCATGTTCATTATCTTCTGGTAGTTTTTGTACATAAACCTACAGTTTCTGTTTTCTCACCATTAATAACCTGGCGATTCCTGGAAGTGGTAATGTGCAATGTGACAGGGTTATTGATAACCTCCGTGGTGAGGGAGTGCCTCAAGATGACAGCGATCATGGCATGATAGAATTTCATTTTCACTTTGCGAGGGAGAAGTGGCTCCAGGACGATTGTTTAAACCAAATAAAGGTTAGCCATGAAGTTGTTAAGGCAGAGCAGGCTAAGCTAGCTTAAAAGGTGGGATAGTGAAGTTGCAGAAACAGACCTCTAAGGAAATATTTAATAACTCTCAGATTTTATCCCATTGTAAATAAAGATTATTTGAGAATGATTCATAGCTAAATAGATTAAGGATGATGTTAAATTGAAAGAAGGTCACAAATCTACAAAGATTAGTGATGGGTAAATGTATTGGACAGACTGCAAACCATTTGGAAAAAAAAGCTGAAATATGATCAAGCCAGAAAGTAGAATGAGTGAAAGCTAGCCAGTAATATTAAAAGCATATGGTAAGAGTTCTACATCTATTTGAACAGGTAAAAAATAACTAGACCTAGTGTGAGTTTTCTAGAGCGCAAGTCTAAGGAATTGATATTTGGGAAAACAAAGAAACAGCAGATACTTTATTTTACATCTGTCTTCATGGTAGAAGTCTTGGAACAGTCCCCAAAGATAATTAAAAATCGAGTTGGTAGGGAGCAATGAACTTTAAACAGTCACCATCATTAGACAAAAGAAAAACTATTGGTTAATTCCCCAGGACCAGGTGGCCTGCACTGTAAGGTCTTTAAAAGAAGTGGTAGCTTGGGTAATAGATGCATTGGTTATAATCTTCCAAAAATTACTTTAGATTCTGAAATGGTCCTTGTGGATTGTAAAATGATAAATGTTAATACTATGACTCAAGAAAGCTGAAAACTACAGGCCAGTTAGCATAGTAGCTGTCATAGGAAAGATACTTGATCAGGCAGAGCCAAACATAACTTTGTGAAAGGAAAATCATTTTTAACTGATCTTGAAGTGTCATCCATATCTATGGTGTTTAGAGGGCAAATGGTAGATATGTACCACTTGGATTTGCAAAAGGCATTTGAAAGGTCGTTGAACAAGATAAGAGCTCCTGGAGGAGGGGATAACCCATTAGCGTAGATAAAAGATTGGCTAGCTAACAGCAAGCAAAGTAGGTATAAGTGGGTCTGTCTTGTGTTGGCAAGCTAGTCACTAGTGGAGTGCCACAGGAATTAGTGCTAGGTCCTCAACAGTTTGTTACAATGATTATGATGAGGGGAAAAATGTGTTATCCAAATTTGCTAATGACACCAAGTTAGTTAGGAAAGTAAGAAAGAAGAGGTAGAGAGTCTGCAAAGGGCTAAGTGAGGATGGAAAGATTGACCGAATGTAACATGGTTATTTGTGAACCTGTCAAGGTAGACCGGGAGAATGGAAAAACAGTGGTATGAAGGGATCTGGTTGTCCTGATACATAAATCATATAAAGTTAATACGCAGGTATTAAAGTGATTTGGAATGTGAATAGTGTTGTTTTATTGCAAAGGGAATGGAGTATAAAAATAGGGATGTTTTACAGCTGCTCAGTGCAGCAGTGAACCATAGTTGGAGTGCGGAGTACAGTTTTTACTTCTTTATTTGAAAAAAACGTAATTACTTTAGAAGGAGTTCAGAAAAGGATCACTCAACTAATTCATTCCTGAGATGAAATTGTTGCTTTATGAGGAAAAAAATTGAACGGGTTATTTCAACATCCATGGAAGCTTAGAATTAGTAGTGATCTTATTAAAAGATCTTGGAGTTACTGAATGGAGTTAATATCTGTAGAATGTTCCTTCCTGCGAGGACTTTAAAACTAGAGAACACAATTTAAGAATACGAGGTCACCTTCTTAAGAAAATGAGTTGAGGGCTGGTGCAGTTGGAAAGTGGAGATGAGACCATAACCAGATCAAATAGGACCTTTATTGAATGGTGAAGCAAGCTTAAAGAGCCAACTTACCACCACCTGCTTCTAAATTCTATGTTTCAATCTGCTAAAATATGCTTCACTCTTCTTTCTTAGATCCAAATTAGATGACCACCTACTTCCCTGCATTTAACTCCACTTGCACAGTTTGTTTTCTGCTTACGGATTCTTTGTTATTTCATAACTTTATCCTCTCATTTGAACTTTTGAATCCCCAAATTTTATGTCTTTCTTGCATGCTTGAATGTAAAAATATTCCTTGTTCTAACTAATTTACAAGTACTGTGAAAAGCTTAGGCTCCATATAGCTGCTCATTTTTCTCAAATATATTTATACTTTTACTGATATCCTTATTCCTTTAACAGACCTTCTTATATTTGCTGTGTAATCTGTTGCATTTAGAGCTGTCCCAGTCCACTGGATTTCCATTTTCCTTTGCATTTTTGTAAGCTGTTTCTTTCATTTTGTAGTAAACCCCGTAATAACTCTCATTGAGTGACACTATTATACATGATAGAGGTTGAGAAGGAGACTCCTTTGTGGTAACTTCAGCTGGTGTGGGAATTCCTAACCTGACTTCTCTGCCTCTATTTGTAGGCATAGCTTACCAGTAAAGAGTGGTGAGCCATTCCCATGGTGTGGGAATTGAACCACATTAGCATCAGTTTGCATCACAAGCCAGCTGTCTAGCCAGCTGAGCTAACGAACAGTTACTCTTTTTTCCAATATCTCTGGAAATAGATGCAGCGAAGTCAAGGTAGGAAGGGAAGAGTCAGACATTGTATGTAAACAAGAGAAGTAGTGAAAATTGGAGACAAAGTCATTGACAGGAGCTGGCAGGTGGCATTAGTTTAGTTTGGGATTCTATTTGGCATGGACTGGTTAGACCGAAAGATCTGTTTCCATTCTGTATGACTCTGTGATACCTCAGAAATTGGCAATATAATGGCGATCTTTAATTTGTGCTTGATTGTTCGACTGCATGTCAGTGAGTAAGAATAATTGCTTTTTAAGCACACAGTATATTTTACAGATTGGTACGTTCTAACACTTTGTTCTTAGCTATCCTGTTTTTCTCAGTAAGGGATTTTAATTTGTTCGCAATCATAAATTTGACCATTTGTTCACCAATAGAGGGAATTTTCAGAAGTTTCTGCAGATGCAAGACCTGATCGAGATATAGAACTGGAGCTTTCTGCTTTAGATACTGATGCCGATCAAGATGAGGGTTTAGAGGTATGGATATGTATTGTGTCAATATTTTAAAATAGGATCACCTGTGCAAATTTTTGATTGGAACATTTTAACTTCACAGTTGGCAGGTGGAAAGCATGTACTGTGATTTAAAGCAAACTGCAAGTCCTTCCAAAGATGAGCAACTCTAACAGGGAATTTCACAGAAAGAACAATTGGCATTCAGAAGCAGTCAAGCTGAAGAATAGGGCAGATCTGGAGTTTTCCCTGTGCAAGTCAACATTTATTCAGTGTTGTTCGTAATTTCTAGTTTTTCGTGTAGAAGCTACACAAAATGATGCCAAAAGGAAAAGGTTACAAATCCCAGCTGATGTTACTGCTGGATATGTCAGATCCCAGAATGAAATCGAGCCAGATAGATAGATAATCTGTTTGTTTATTTAACATGGTATTCGTTCACTGAAATACAAGCTTTCCTTTAACAATAATATAGATGTTTATTACACAAAATGGAAAAACAAGCTATTATTTATAAAATACAGTTTGAAGGATCTTGAAACATGCACAAAGCAATGTCTGATCTATTCCCTATCATCACTTTACAGCATTTCAAGTCCAGAAAGATCACCCTTCTATGTTAAATCTTTAGATTTGACGTAACTGCACCTCCCAGTTCTGTCCTGTGAACTATGAAGTCTCCCTGCATAAATACTCTTAAAACTGCAAGGTTATACTTTCTCAGTCTTTTAATAATCTTCTGATTTCTAATTAAATGCTTCTGATCTGAAAGTTTCACAAACTAAGCTTTTACGTTAGATTAACTCTCTGATACTCCTTTCTAGAAGAGAAACTATATTTGTTTCTGACCCTAGTCTGGTCTCCTCCAAAACTGCCCTAAAGCCATTCAGTCTCTGGGATTTTTCTAAACTAAAATCAATTCTTGACTACCCTAAATCAAAAGCAACCTCAAGCTTTCAATTTCTTCCACTTTCTGTAAATACCATGGTATAAACAAACAATCTTCCATTAACACTCCAGGAAGCTTTCAGTCACTTGCACTCTGACATTCAGTATAGGTCACAGTTCCAGAAGAACACTTTCAAACCTTTTTTAAACCACTTCACAAAAGTAGCCAGCACCGATTTGAAACCTAAACTGTAATGACCCTTGACACTTTTTATCATGCAAAGCTTTGCATTGTATGGTGTTGGATATTTGGCAATAAACATGGTGTATGTTTGATGAGTTTCTGACTAAAATATGCCTTGATGAACTGATATAGTACACTGAACACTGACATAAATTAAACCATGACACATGCTGTCTTTAATTATAGAATCAATTTCTTGCACCGGAATACCGGCATGAAACTTAATAAGTGTCAATGTCCTATCTGTTAAATCATTATAAACTAATTACTTTAAGGCAAACCAGGAAATCCAATACTGTACGTAAGTGTATAAGCTCCCATGATGTGCAATATTCAACTCTATGCAAGTTAAATGGTATTCTGATACAGTGTATTGTATAGCCTTAATTTAAAATTTAAAGGAGACCATGCCTGTAAAGAACAGTCTTAATTCTTTATCCGCATATATTTTCCATGCGTTAAATTTAATGGAATGTAATACTTTGAACAGGATCATTCATATTCCTGATATTTCAAATTCTGTTTGCATCAATTTAACCAGTTCCTTTTGAGGGAAATCTTATGATGTAGCCTTGAACCTTGCACATACTTTGCCAGTGATTTTAATTTATATTTATAGTACTTGATTTACTTAACCCTCCTTTTGGTTTATCACGGATGCTAAAACAGCTGTACTGGCAATCTTCCAACAAACAACTTGTGACCCATGAGAGTGTAACAGATCAAATGATGGAGAATGAGCAAGAAAGTAATTAGGGATATAGAAATAAATAGTAATCTGATATCCAGTAGTGTCTGATGCATGAAACTTTTTAAGGAGTCAGCTTAATCATCTTGAGTCATATGTGACTATTGGAAGTTGCGTGGAACTTTTATTTATCTTATTCCTGGCCACGTTATTGTCAGGAAAGAGAGATTAGCTTGAGAGCAGTTGTTCGTGAAAACTCAACAGAGCTAACTGGTAGAAGCTATCAACAGCTCAATTTTTCAGTTTGCAGGAAGTGCTACAACATGTTCTGATAGTTTGCAAGGCTAAGGAATGAGTTGGGAGCAATTTCTTTGTTTGCACTACAAATTGAGCTACAGTATGTTGTAAAACATGTACATTCAGTGATATTATTTATGCGACATATTAAAGGCAGTTTTGTTTTTGTTCATACAGAATGTCCTGGATTTGGGTATTGGCTCCCAGAGTGATCGGACCAATGATATAATGTCTGAAAATGGTCACCACCATAAGCACCAGGGTCAAGAGCAGGAGGAGCAGGGCCGGAGAATTGCAGAGCAAATTGCTATCACGTAAGGATCAATGTTGGATGGTTAAAGAATGTAATGGTTTTGATTTTATTTAAACGTACTTTGAATCTTAGGTTTGTAAATCTTGCTGTGGGGACGAAATTAAAGGAAAAATTTGCAGATAGTTTAAAAAGTGCAAGAATACCAAAGTTATATAATTAGATTTATTATTTCAAGATGTTCTAAAATAAAGAGAATTCATGTAGTCAGAATAGTGCATTTTTGGAAAGTATTCAGAGCTTTTCAGAGTATTGTGTAATTAGATTGAAAGGAAAAAAACATTTGCCTGACTTTAGTTCTGTTAAATCAAATGGAATAAAAAATAGAATAAATAACTAAGCAGGAAACAACTGTGAAATAGTGACCCACTGCATAAGTACTTTAAATATCAAAATAAAGAGGAAAATGAATGGTTAAAGCTAAAGATGGTGATAGGAAAAGGACAGAATTCAGTCAGATCAGAAGAGATGTAGCCTAAGCTACCTGGGTGGAAAAGTTAGGAAACCAGTGAACAGAACAGCAGTGTGAAATCTTAATAAGTATTTACATTCTTATTCACTATTTTACTCTTGGTCACCTTATGTCAGGAAAGAGAGGTTAGCTTGAAAGCAGTTGTTCATGAAAACTCTGGAGAGCTAACTGGTAGAAGCTATCAACAGCTCAGTTTTTCAGAGTTTGCAGGAAGTGCTGCAACATGTTTTGAAAGTTTGCAAGCTTGGAGTGAAAGAGAGGCATATCGGTCCCATGGTTAAATGGATTTGAATTGAAACAAGCTTAAAAGGAACATATAGATAAATTGAGGCTAACAATACTAATGAAAATCATGAATAGGAAATTATGGTGTCAACGTCATAAAAGAAAATTAGAGAAACTAAAAAGCAATAACGAAAGAAGTTAGTAGCTATCATGAAGAGGAAAAAGCAATGTTGTTTAAGCATATTAAATGTAAAAATAATTAACAAGCACAGAATTGTTTAGGGATGAGTAAAGAAGTCTAAGTTGAATAATTAAATGTGGTAATATTTATTTTGTCAAGTTTTGCAAATGACGCAAATGTAAATGTTGATGAACAGTTGCTCATACAGCACAGAAAACGGCCCTTCCATCTAACCAGTCCATGATAACCAAGTTTCCCAAACTAAACTAGTTCCACTTGCCTGCAATTGGCCTATATCCTTCCAAGCATTTCCTATTCGTGTACTTATCTAAATGTCTTTTAAACATTGTAACTGTAGCCCCATCCACCACTTCCTCTGGAAGTTCATTCCACACATGAACCATACTCTGTGTAGAAAAGAAAAACTGCCTCTGATTTTTCAAAATCTTCCTCCTCTCCCCATAAAAATATGTCCCTTAGTCTTGAAATCCCCATCTGCCATTCACCTTATCTATACCCTTCATTATTTTATAAACCTCTATAAGGTCACCTTTCAACCTCCTACGCTCCAGTGAAAAAATGTCCAGCTTATCCAGCCCCTCCTTATAACTCAAATCCTCCATTCCCAGCAGTATTTTGGTAAATCTTTTCTGAACCCTCTCCAGCTTAATAATATCCTTCCTATGACAGGATGACCAGAACTGAACACGGTACTCCAGAAGAGGCATTACAACCGTCCTATATAACCTCAAAATAACATCCCAACTCCTATATTTAAAGGCCTGAGCAATGAAGGCAAGCGTGCTGAATGACTTCTTAACCAGCTTATCTATATGTGATGCAAACTTCAAAGAATTATGTGCCTAAACCCCTAGGTCTTTCTGTTTTACTACACTGTCCAAGGCCCTACTTTTAATTATATAAGTCTTGTCTTTGTTTCACCAAAATGTAATACTTCGCATTTATCCAAATTAAACTTCATTTATCCAAATTAAACTTCATTTGTCCATTGACCCAACTGATCAAAATGTCTTCGCAATCATAGATAGCCACTTTCACTGTCCACTATACTACCAATCTTGGTGTCTTCTGCAAAATAATAACTATGTTTTCTTTTATATTCTCATCTAAATCATTTATATAAATGACAAACAAAAGTGGACCTTGCATCGATCCCTGTGGAACACTGCTTGTCACAGGTCTCCAGTCCAAAAACAATCCTCTACCATCACTCTTCATCTCCAATCATTAAGCCAACTTTGTATCGAATTGTCAAGCTCATCCTGAATTCCATGCAGTGTTAGAACACGTGAGTTTTACCACTGAGCCAAGGCTGACACATAATGTTGAACGTAGAAAATCACTTGAGTTCAGCACTTAATACTTTACCTTTTAATTTAAACTGACATTTATTTGTACTGCTCAGATGTTTAAAAGGTGCCAGTACATTTAAGTCCTAACTGCTCAGATGTTAAAAGGTGCCAGTACGTTTAAGTCCTAACTGCAAACATCTATTTACTCCTATTTTATGGATTCACTACTTATAGGAGTTTGTTTATCAAAAAATGGTTTACAGTAACGTGCCAATAAATGGCTGGCACTGGCTGGCAATGTTGATTTGAAGTGAGACCTGTACAGCAACTGCCCCTTCTTACCGAAAAAGTTTCAGCGGAATCAATGCATGATTTGGAGTGTGCATATTCACTTTAGCATAGCTGTGTCCTGGGAGAGAAAGTCTAATATCCAGGAAAACTGCATTCATGTTTCTTAAATTGAAAAATACTTGTGATTCTGCTGATAACTGTTTAATTATGTTAGGATAGCTGATTTTAATACGAGATTCCTAGAAAACAGTTTGGGCAGTATATTTGATGCAATGTTAATTAAATATCATGTTGGCAGCTGAACACAGGAATTATGTATGATGCCATTTAAAAGAGATTTGATGGGCACAGCATTTCAGCCAATGCTCAGACACTGGTTTACACTTGTGGTCTTCCATGAGTGTACTCTTTGTATTGTTTAGGGCATTTGTGGAATGTAATGTATAGAGTCTACAAAGGAAGCTGAAATGTGCAGGTTTAACAGCTTGAAACAACTTCCTCATATTTAGTTTACAGACAAAACACAACAGATCTTCTCTTAATCCAACCCATTTTGCCTCACCTACCTGAGCCAAATTGTCCAGTCCGCAGCACGTGACTGAAGCCAACCACAGGATTATCGTCTTGGAAGACCTCACTAGCTCCCAACCCTATAAAACCTCAACTGGTTTACCCACAAGAACTGACCTAATGATCCCCATGAACCAAACTGATTTGTCTAGTCCTCAATCCTATAAAATCTCTCAACCTGACCAGCCCCCAACCTGACCTGACATGCTACAAGAGATAACAAGGTGTAGAGCTGGATGAACACAGCAGGCCAAGCAGCATTAGAGGAGCAGGAAAGCTGATGTTTCGGGCCTAGACCCTTCTTCAGAAATGACATGCTTCTGACATGCTGCAATCCAGTTTCATCACCCCCATCCCCAACCTGATCCAAGATGCTACAACCTGACTAGCCCCCAACCCCATAAAATCTTTCAATCCAACAGGACTGGGATTGATTTCCTTGAAGCACAGGAGATTGAGATGTATTAAGTGGTGTACGTAGAAAGAAATGTTCCTCAAGTCTGCTGCGCTATTCAATGAGATCATGGCTGATCTGTTCATCTTCAACTCTGCAAAGACCCAGTTTTAGGTCATTTCTCTGTCAGCTGTTGAATGGGGGCAAAGTATAGAGGGACATGAAATCAATTAATTAAAGAGATATAGCATAACTTAATGAAAACATTGTTGAAACTAATTTGACTATGTTAACACTATTTCATGTTTTTCCCTTTCTACCAAGGGAGGAACAGAAGATGATACCAATAACTTCTGGCTTTAACCAGCCCACTACAGCTTCTGTTGGCTACGTCACCTCCCCGCCTATGACTGCTTCCTTCAGCATTAGTAATTTAGTCCTGAAAACATCTGCAGTAAAGTTGTCAGAAGATAATGACATGAAACCTGCAACTAATGGCGAGACTCTAGTCAATGGAAGCTGAAATGTTTTGTGCTTGCACCAACATTCAAAAGCAATTAATTTTGCTTTCTTTATTATATTATATAATATAATATATAACACATGGATTTGTATATATGTGTGTATGTTATGTTATGTACTTTTTTAAAAGAACAATGTGGGGGCACCAAATTCCTGTGGACATTTTTGATACTTCAAAAGCCCTCCTGAATTAACCATTTTGACAAAATTAACTTTAGCCAGATAGCTAATTCAAATTCCCAGTGAATCTTGGAATTTGGACATCATTCTGCTAAATGCTTTAAAGCAGTCTTTTATGAGTCTGTTGTGAGCCAGTGCAGTAACTTAGTCATTCTTATTCACAATGGCTAATGTAGAACGTAAACAACTCAGTTGTTAACCAGCAGAGCCTTGCAGTAACACATCTGGTGGAAGCTAACTATGACTTACCTCCTCTTCTATTTCTTTTATATGTTTTTTGTGTACAATTCACAAAATTGTAAGAAGATAATGGCTTGGAAAACTGTATTTTTGAGCTGTTATGGTAAGATTTAGTTTCATGGCATTGTTGCACTTTTTATAGGAAACTTGTTTTGTTAAATGGTGGAAGGAGTGTACTTTTCACTTTTTAAAAAATTGCATAATTAGAGTTTCAAAATACAGTTTGCCAACAGATTCCATAGCAAATATGTTAAACTAAGATGGTAAAATTGAAAAATACCTTGTGTTATCTGTTTAAACAAATATATAGGGCAAACATTAAGTGGGGTGGAATCACTAAAACATTGTGCCATTATCACTTATTATCTAACAAGGTGTGCCTCAGGAAAAAAAATGAAATTATCTTGCCAGATTGACCATTAGTTAAGATAGCATATTAACAGAAAATATGCTGTTAATAACAGAAAATAAATAACAGAAAATTGGAAATACTTGGGTCAGGCAGAAACTGAGAGAGAGAAACAGTCACTGACTTGAAATGTTATTTTCTATCCACAAATGCTTCCTGGTCTGATTTAGTATTCCCAACATTTTCAATTTATAATTCGGATTTCCAGAATTCACAGATTTTTTTTTCCCCTTGGTTTGCATGGCAACATGTTTTCACTTTCTTTGGTCCAATAATTGCAGGCTAAGCAGCAACTTTTTGCAGAAAATCAATTCATATATCCCATGAAGAAGAATTTCTGTCAGTTTTGATGTGCATTTGATAGAAATTTAGCCTGTGGCATTCTATTATTGGTGGATTTGTAGCAGCAAAGAACTGCACCGTTGCCTATTTTGTTGGGTGTAGTAATGAGCTTAAGGACCAGATACAGAATATTAAAAAAAAGACTAACTGCCTTCTACCCTCCAAAAAACACCAAAGGCAAAAATTGCAAATAGCTCAAATTTGAACACTTGCTTCAAAAAATGCCTTGTCTCATCCTTGAATCTACTATTCATGGTAAAGATTTTAATTAGATTTTTTTAAGTACCTACGATAGTGAAATGTCTTTTAATGGAAATAAACTTATTTGTCACCCTAAATTACATGAACGTGCAATGCTAATTGGTTTACATAAAATGCTGCTTTGATCATAGCTATGTTCAAAATATTTGGCTATTTTGAGGTTTCTTATTTTTATTAACCATTATATTTGTATATAAAGTGCAGAACGAAAACTGTATTTTGGAACTCCTGCATTGTGTGGTGTTTGCACTGAATGATAAGCCAGTTTCTACTGGTCTCTTTTCTACCCTGTCTATTTTAAGAATTTCTGATGGTTTCTCTGTATTTACTGCAACATATAGTGTTCATCCATTATGAAGCAAGACCCCAAAAGTACTGTAATAAATTTGAACAGTCCAAAGTCATATCTGACAGTCCAGTTTAAAACAGCCGTCTTCAATTTAATCAAACGCAAGGAAATGCCAAGAATCTCAGTAGTTTTATTTGATAAAAATAGTAATGGTCATAATCATGGTGATGCTTTTTAGTTAATTCAAGGTACAATTTAAGTTTGCCATTGCACGCATGTTTAACGTACTCTGGGAGACTGGTAGATTTACTTATAATGTAGTTGGGCATTGAAAGTAAAAGTATTTAAAATTTGTTTACAAAACATCTATAATTGTGATATTTACGGATGTTGTGTTTATTTTAACTGTGTAACCTTTTCTCAGTTTTATGTAAAGGAAATTGAGGGCTAAGCTTTCTGGCTCTTCATCATTTACAACTCGTTCACTTAGTGAAGTTTCTGAGTTGGCCCTTTTGAGAATTAAAGAAGTAACTTTGTTTTCATAGCTTAGACCAGCAGTCGGAGGAGCAATAACTGCATCCATTCATAAAAAAAATTTAAAATTTTAACTGTCTTAGTCTATACTGTAACATTCTGTTGATTCCCAAGCCTGTATTCAGCTTATTTTATAATGGGCAGTGTTTCGGATCAAACAATGCAAAGTAATAGAACTGTATCAATAATTCCCTTTTTTAAAGCAAGCCACTGTTGCATGCACGTAATTTCTGTTATGTAGGTATGCCATTTGCTAATAACCTAGATTTAACAGTACCTTCCAGTCTCTATCTCTATGGTCCTACTGTTTTAATTTTACATTTTTTATGTTTTGATGACTTCTGTGAAGTTGATTGTTCTGAAAATCGTACTGGGATATTTTAAACCAAGCACGACTTTCACCAGGTAGCTGCAAAGGAGGTGTTCTGCTGGTAAACGACTTCTGCAAGATCATGTTATTGGTCGTCTGAGTTGTTAAACTGATACACAATACCACAACAAAGTGTCAGAATTTTTAAAACAGTTTTGTGCACTTCCCTGAGGGTTGAACATTTTTTTCCTGGAGGATATTTGCACAGAGTGATAAGGCAGTTTGCTGCTTGATGTTTATAATTGCATTAGGCAGTATCATGAAATCTCTTCCTATTTATAATAGGATTTATTTAGGTTTTTGTAATGAAGGAGTGATATTGTACATTTAAATTTTTGTGGGCCTCCTACTCAGTATCATATACCGAAGCTTATAGTTACTGAGATCTATGCACCTATTGTAGTCTGAAGTTATCAGTCTTTGCGTGTTTACATGGTCTTTAGTCCATATTTCTGAACTTGTACACATTGAAATCTTTTTAAAATCTGGATACTGGTATTGACAGCCACTAGTAAGCAACCTAAAGCTAAACTGACTGAAGACCATTTTACAAACTCTTCTTTTGCAGTAATTTAATTTTCAACCAAAGCTGCTCTTAACAATATAGATTTCAGAGTAAACCAAAACATGCACCAATGCTTTACGCACATGGTGTTAGACATTAAAATAAGTAGCATAGGAACAATATTTAATGTAAATTTTATGTAAAAGTACATAATGTTTTCAAGTGATGTGTACTGTAGGTTCTATCTAAAATTTCCAGTTTTATTTCAGCTTTCCAATTGCATTATTAATAATCTGGAAGACTTTAAAGATCTCCATAATTCAAATATTCAATAATCACCAGAGTTGCACACAGTTCTGATTATTGCTTATGAATGTGTTAATTATAAATGGAATTTGCTGTATTGCTGTAACAAATGAATGCCTATTTGAGCATATCTATCTATTTTTCACAAATCATAACATTTATGAGTGTCCAGTGCTTTCTTGTTGGCCATGCAACAAGCAAGCATAGGTATTGGGGCAAAAAAGAGTCAAGCTCAAGTCCTTAACAGACTTTAAAGTAGGAACAGGGGTTGTTGAATTTTGTTTTCTTATCCTTGCATGAGTTATATTGATCTGCACCCAAGCTTTGGATCAAAACCATCAGACTGGAATGTAGAATATTTCAGAAAAATTTGTACATTGGGTGCTGCTGCAGTACTTATTCCCTGCCACTGTGGGGTCTCAGTGAATTGTATATAGTTGCTTTCTCCCTCTAGTGGTACAAAATAGACTCTGTGAATCAATTTTACAGAGACAACAGCTAATTTTCAGAAGTAACCCACACTACCCTGTCCCCCAAAAATGAAAAAAAAACCTTTTTAGAGATCTGTTTATTGATGCTTGAATTGAAGAAAGTAAATTATAACTAACTATCTTGAGGATGTTTTGTACTACTTGAACATGACCAAGATATTTCAGGAGTCTAGGAGTATCAGAATAACCCTCCGAAAATAGATTGCAGCCCTCGGGGAAATGACCGCCCTCTGTGCTACAAAACTCCAAATAGCATCTTCAGTGCTTTCTGAGGGTGAATATGTATTACATAAATTAATCTTGTGTATGTACCTTTTTATTTTAAAATTGAATTCTTTAAAAAACTTGGTTGTGCTCTGCTGGAGGGGGATTGGGGAAACTGGTTGCTTTTTTACAACTGATGCACGTTAACAATGGTAACGTATCATCATTTTGAGAATCGGTCAACTTTTTTTAAAATTTAAACATTTAAGTGGAATCCATTCCTGTGCAGTTCCGCTGCATGGGCCCAAGATGCATTACATCAGAATTAGGTCACCTGCACATATCCCATAAACCCATCCAGTGAAGGCCTCAGTTAATCAAAGGCATGGAAATGCATGCAGTTCCTTAGCTGGGCAGGAGAAGTACATTATACTGTAGTTGTGATACAACACACACATGGTTCTTATTTGTACTACACATGCCCACTGTACAGCCACTTGAAGCGTTGTGATTAGCTTGCAGCGTTTGCTGTCTGCATTTATGCCATTTTGCCTATTCTTTTCCCTGAAAGTTATGAAAAAATGTTTTGCTGCAAAAATAAAATCTTTAGAAAAATTGCTTAGCTGGAAAAGTTGGGAAAAGAGGCCTGTTTTATCAATTGTACAACAGATTGTGGAGCTCAAGTGTGAATATTTTACGTCTGTATTAGACATTTTCTTTGCAAATCTATTGTTCGATTGAAATGTAAATGAAATTAAAGATGGTACACATCCGTCATGTATAAAGGAGGCACCATCAATAAGATGGATTTAATGGTCATTTTTACTACACCTACTTGGCTTATATTTAAAATGTATAATTTTTTTTAAAGTGCTCTGTTAATTAAATAGGGAATAAATTTTATTCCATTTGTTAATTTCAATTTGACTTCCAAATTGTTGGTAATCTGTTACCTTTTGTTTTAGGAGTAGGATGAAATATGAATGCTAGGCCATTTAGGTCTGTATTGATTAGTTTGTGATACTGAATAGCAAAGATTTAATTCTTTGTGTACAAAACCTTGTTTGCTGTAGCACTGAATTGAAGAGCTAATAGCTTGGGCTGTACACTAGAATAGAGTATCATGAATTTCGGTGTTTGAAAGATGATTGGGACAGTTTGCAGTACTTGAAATGTATTTGCATGCATAACAATAAAGTTATTGTCAATTAAAATTTTCCTTATTGCTAATCGTTCCTCTGGAAATGAGCATTTTATGAAATGGGCTTTAACCTGGTTGGGAGGTCGTATATGTCTAAATGTGTTTGGAATATATTGGAACAGTATTCAAGACGTTAGGAAATGGTCAATGCAACTGCAGTACTTCAATTCATTAAAGAAATTTTTTTTTAAAAAATAAGGTACTTAGTTTTGTCATTTAAGTGTTGCATTTTAAGAATGAGCTATATTTGATATCCAGTAGCAGCAGCCATTCTTGGAGACCATCTAACAAATGATATGATATCCTCAATGTATTGATTCAATGGTTCAAGGAGCCATAAAGTTCAAGTTGTTTATATGTGTTGTTTGAACTATCTTGCTACTTTTATATCCAATTCGTTCCTTTTTATTTCTAAATGGTACTGCTAAAGCATCACGGATCCACATATGACTTTAGGATTGCTATTCACTGAAACCTGTAAATTATAGATACTTTGAAAATTCAACAAACAGCTTTTTTTTGGCCGGTGACCTTATTTTCAAAGTTTTCTTCCCATATAATAACTAATCTAATACAGAATTTTTCACTTGGCATTTATCGCAGCAGAAAAAAAATCCATACCAGGCTTAGAGCCATGCAAATATTGAATCCCAGAGAGGTTGGTTTTTTGACTACAAAGGGTGCTGGATAAAAAGTTCCCATTTTCCACAAAAGATGAGATTTCTTTCCACAAGTCTGTTGACATCTTTACAGTGATTACATGTCCACTATTTCAGTACAAAAGGATTTTGTGCACTTAAGGCTTTTTGACAGTAATTGTAGTTTGAGCAGTTGGCATAAAAATTACTTGGATCTGAGTAAGTGTCTATTTTTACAGGTTGTAATGCACATAAATATGTGGTTATGATTGAGGGATTTTTTTTCATTTGCTCAAAAGGAAAAAATGCACACACTGCTCAAATTAGATGGATGTTCTAACATACTGAAATATAATTAAATATACATACGAAATTGGAATTGGACAACTTTCACTACGTACGTAAAACAAATTCACACTGAGTCCAAATGGTCAAAAATCAGCCACAGGACTAAAACATTAGAGATTTTCATATTGCAGCAAGATGCAACGATTGGAGGGACAAGCTTTTGGGCAATCTTTCTTGGCGTTGTCTGAAGTTTCTCAGTTATGACTTGAACACTTTTATTTTGGTGTATTAGACAAAGTGTGACTGATTTGTCATTCACATTTTGGACCAAAGAATCTATTTTTCAGTAAGTCATACACTCCAAAGAAATCAATGCCTCCTAGATTATCCTTTGTGAAACACTCAATGAATCAATTTAGTTTAGTATCTTAGTTTTCCCTCATTCCCACATTACCATCTTGTACCTGAGTCTGTAAACAGTTACCTACAAAAATATTAATTAATAATAAATACTTATTAATCTAAAAGACCTTCAGTTGTTGCTTTTACATTTTGTTCTATAACTGTTGTACAGACCTGTTTATATTGCTTTAGAAAGAAAAAGGAATGCACAGTACAAAATTTGAGTTGGAGGTCATCAATGAAATTTAATTGAAACAGAATATACGTGGTAGTCTTAAGCAGAGAAGGAACCATATATCCATCTATATCATCAATGTCTACTAATTAATATTTCTGATTCCGCTTATTGCTAAAGTTACAGATATTTTTCTCTTAAATTTAAGCCAGGAGAATCTGGTTCCTCTTTCCAGTGTGAACTCATTCAAGCTTTGCGCAGAAAGATGATTTCAGCCTTTATTTAGACAAAATGTCTCAACCTAGCTCAGTATTACTGGAAATGGGTAGCTTTAAAGTTGGCTCTAGCTTGGTGTTCTCCTTTGTTGGGCCATCCTGGCCCATCTCAGAATGCATACCCTCATTTTGCTCCTATAGGATTTCTCTCCTGCCTGCATTGCTTCACTGTCAATATGTTTACCTCTCCATCCCTCAATGGGCTTGGTGACTGAAGACACCATCTCACATACTGTGGTCTGGTTGACAAATGGGTAGTGTTGTGCCTCTCCTCAGCAGACTGCGAATTTATTACAGATTTCATCAACAAGATGTGGAGGGGATGTCCTTTGTTACCAAGCAACCATACTTCTAGGGCTGAGGGCATCTGAAAGTCTGGCACTGGTGAAAGGTTCAGGATTTATGAGTCATGACAGCTCCCTGGATATCTACTGCATTACCTGATTGCTGTGGTCGCAAATGATTTGAGCACTTAAGAGTAGACTCCCTTCCAGAGTTTCACGAAGAGTGCTGGTTCATGATACAGTGCTCTAATTGCATCCTGCACCTGCAGGAAACCAGCATTGGCTGAGAATCCTTATGCCCTAACTGCCTGTTTGCGTCCACACATTGGCAAGAGGGTGCAGGAGGAATACAATGAATTGGGGAATTCTTCTGGAACCAGCAGCAGTACCATCCTGCTTAAAATGTTATTTAGGGGGCTAATAATACACTTAAATCCTTGGGCTTCCCACCAGCCATGAAGGACTTAAAATGGTCTCCACTTTGCCTGGCCATAATCTCAAAAGAAGAACAGATAATCAGGCCCCCGCAGTCTGGACTAGTTTATGACCCCCGCCTTGGCCAGACTGTGGAGCACTTGAATATTGACGTGATGCTGGAGTATGAATTGAAGTAGATGTTTAGCATTGTGCAGTCACTGGATTACAGGCTACTACAGTAGCCCATGGATGGCCTCCCGTCCACCATGAAGTCAGCCCCTTTTTACAAACAAATATTACTTACCCTACCATTTTTGGTGCTAGTTTGTCAGTATTAAAAGTTTATTGTACAGTTAATTTTTGGACCATTGAACTTTAAAATTTGTGTTCGCTGCAGTGTGTTGCAAACACTGCCTGAGACCCATAATGTACCCCCAGCCCCATGTCTTGCCTTGACACCTCATTCAGGACCATCCAATTCTCTTCGCTATCTTGGCAGACCACACCATACAATATGCAGTTAATCCTACAACAATGACTGACTGTTTCTCCGTTAATGAATTCAAGTAGACCATTTCCCATGTAGCTTTGGTGGCACTGCAGCTAGACTCTCAAATAAAACCCTAGATTACGTACAATCTGACTCTTGCTTGTTATCCATCCCATGGACAAACTTTGTAGGGTAACCTTGACTGCCTATAGCCCATCCCTGGACTGAATTTGCAGGATGGCCCTGACTGACCAACCAGCCAAGTCCGAAGTAATTTTGTGCATTTCCAGGACTGACCACAGCCCAATTCACTGACTGATATGGCACTATTTCTTGGATTTGCATTAGACTGACCACCTCACTGACAGTGGTGAATCTACCAGACTGGAAATAGTCCGTCTCTGGACTGATTGTGACAATATGCCCTGACTGACTGGAGTCCACCGCAGACATGCACCACTTCTGATATCAATGCAGCATTATGTCTTTTAGCCCTTTCATATTGATACTTCACTGTTTCCTACAACTACACACTACTACCTTGCCTTCTACACTAAACTGCCATTTCAAGGCAAAAGCTGCTGGCTGAGCTATCTACTCAAGTGCCATATGTGAAGCAGAAGCGCTGTGTTGCTATTCTCCATTTGGGTGGAGGGGGGCCAGGGATATGTTCTGCCTTAACCCCATGGGCATGTCTGCTGCAGTTTAGAGGTTGCAGTGAAAGTGAAGATAGAGTCATAGAGATGGACAGCACATAAACAGACCCTTTGGTCCAACTTGTCCATGCCAACAAGATGTTTGAAATTAATCCAGTCCCATTTGCCAGTATTTGGCCTATATCTCTCTCAACCCTTCTGATTCATATACCCATTCAGATGCCTTTTAAATGTTTGTAATTGTACCAACCTCCACCACTTTTTCCAGCAGCTCATTTCATACATGCACCATAGAAAATAGCCCCAGCCTATTCAGCATCTCCCTATAACTCAAACCCTCCAACCCTGGCAATGACTTTGTAAATCTTTTCTGAACCCGTTCAGGTTTCACAACATCTTTTCTACAGCAGAGAGACCAGAATTGGATGCAGTATTCCAAAAGTGGCCTAATCAATATCCTGTACAGTCACAACATTACCTCCCAACTCCTATACTCAAAGCAACAACTGATAAAGGCAAGCATACCAAATGCTTTCTTCACTACCCTGTCTACCTATGACTCCACTTTCAAGGAACTGTGCACCTACACCCCAAGGTTTCTTTGTTTGGTAACACACCCCAGGACCTTCCCATTAAGTGTATAAATTCTGCCTTACTAAAATGCAGCACTTCACATTTATCCAAATTAAACTCCACTTGCCATGCCTCGGCCCATAGGCCCATCTGATCAAGGTCCTGTTGTACTCTAATGACAATATTTTTCAGAAGGAGTCAGTAGATGCAGCCAAAGCTGTGTAAACACCAGATGTCATCTCGCCATCTAAGGGGGGAGGATGGAATAGCAAAGTCTCCTCTTGATGGTGAGTATTTGATTTTTGGATTTGCCTAATTTATTAATTTTGTTTGCCATCACTCTCCTCTTGGAGTTCTGGTACAAGTTTATACTATTATTTTTGTGAATTTAGATTCTAAAGCTGCGGTAAATGCAATTTTGGTTTTCGGGCATGAAGCTAAAGAAGTTGGATTGATTAACCAGACTGTATTTCATTAATCACCCATGTGACTTCTTTCAAAGGAATTGTTGATTAAAGGACTTTCAGCTACACTGTTCATATTTTCAACATGTTTCTGAATTTGTCGTTGACTGATAATGAAGGGGAATTTATCAATAACATTGCTTGTGTCTCAAGCCAGTCCCCAACATTTTCCATTTATTTTATCTATAATAACCATTTGGCCTTGCTATAAAACACAACCTGCTACCATTAAGTCCTTACTCTACTGTTCAGACATTAGATGTATGTAGTTTTCATCTCATTATTTAAAGAAAGATGTAAATATGGTGGTTCAGAGAAGGATTACTAGATTGATCCTGGAATGAGTGGTTTGTCGTGTGAGAAAATGTTGGACAGACTAAGCTGGAGTTTAGAAGAGTGAAGGGTGACTTGATTGAAGTGAAGAAGATCCTTAATGGTCTTGACAAGGTGGAGATGGAAAGGCTACTTCCTCTTGAAGGTCAATGCAGACTAAGGGAAGCTATTTTAAAATTAGGTGTGTCCTTTTAGGACAGAGATGAACATTTTTTCTCCAAGGTAATGCAGCTATAAAATTCTCTGCCTCAGAAGGCAGTGGAGGTGGGGTCATTGTCTTAAAACAAAAATGCAGAGGTAGAACATAGAACAGTACAGGCCCTTCGGCCCATGATGTTGTGCCGAACTTTTACCCTAAACCTAAGGTCTATCTAACCTCCACCCCAACCTTATACTATCATCCATATGCCTATCTAGTAGCCGCTTAAATGCCCCTAATGAGGCCGACTCCACTACCCTCTCCGGCAATGCATTCCACGCCCCTACCACACTCCGAGTAAAGAACCTACCTCTGACGTCTTCCCTATATCTATCTCCACTCACTTTAAAACTATGCCCCCTCGTAATAGCTACCTCCACACGAGGAAAAAGTCTCTGGCTGTCCACTCTATCTATACCTCTGATCATTTTGTACACCTCTATCAAGTCACCGCTCATCTTTCGTCGTTCTAAAGAGAAAAGCCCTAGTGCTCTCAACCTTTCCTCGTTAACCTTCCCTCCATACGAGGCAAAATCCTGGTAAATCTCCTCTGCACCTTTTCCAACGCCTCGACATCTTTCCTGTAATGAGGCGACCAGAACTGGACACAATACTCCAGTTCTTGCCAGTGTCTTGATCAATATTTATCCCTCAATCACCACGAAAACAGATTGACTAGCATTTTCACCATGGTGTCTACTGAAGCTCAAGGTGTGCAAACTGACAGATATTACACTCCAAGAGTCCTTCATTGATTGTAAAGCACT